ATGTGATATTATCTATTATTATCAGCTTCATATTGCATTAGCCGGAAGAGCTGTGCGAAAATAGTGTTACGAATCGAAATGACTTGTTTCCTTGCTCTAGGTACAGCAATCGGCTTAGAGAAGAAGGTTTCAGCTAACTGACTAATTATTATCATCTAGGTAAGCAATTTCTATTTTTATAATTATTCACGACATGCATTTCAGGACAAACTTTAGAGGCTATCACTCGAAACGCAGACCTTGACTTCCAGTTCGATTTATTTCCAGATCGTATAAAATATATTCCTTTTATCAATTGTAACTATTATAAACATAATAAGCAGTAAGTTTAGCTGCCCTTTAATGTAACTTTATTGAGTTAAGCTTTAATAAAAATAATATAAAAACAGGCAGACAGTGGGACAGCTGAAAAAAGAGCCATTTGCAAGATCAAGATCGCACTCGGCTTCGATCGTGGATCAGAGATCTGCAGTGCAAGCAGCTGAAAGTTTTAGTATATTGCCGTTAGACTTTGCTTTGTTGTGGAGCCGACAAATGAGCCCGATACTCGCCCATTTTATGATATTCATATCAGCGGGCAATCGACATGATCAGCATCGACAGACAACGAACCACAACAGAAAATGGCCCTAGGAGATCATCGGCGACCAACTATGGCCTATGAATCACTTACATCAACGAGCCAGCCAAACAGATCACAAGCTAGCCGTATCCGCCAACCTACTTCTACACTTAAAGAAACCACACTGAAAAATCTAAGAATTTAGACCTCAATTTCAATTTCTTATGCCTGACCAAATTTTCCAAATGTCCCTAAAGGATTTCCGATCGAAATTGTATCTAAGACTTGAAGCTTAATATATATTGCAGTTCGATAGGATTTTCTCTGAGTGTACTCTGCACAGATGAAGTCTTTCGGCTTTTGCATCGATGCAGCTTGCCACCTCGGGCAGAAACAGGCTACCACAGCTACCCATGCACAAATTGGGGCGTTGAGCTGTCTGTCCGCAGCTCGTGCGACTGTAAACTATGCAGATGTCGGATTAGCGACGTTGATGCCCATTCCAAATAGAAGCTATGCAAGCTCTCGAATGCACCACATGCACATCAGCGGATGCACTAACTGAATTTAAAGGGCTTTAAAGCGCAAGTTCCTATCGATTTTATGTCCTGCCCAAAAATAAACAGCGAATGCTGCTGATAAGTGGAAAGAGGAAAGTGAAAAGTGAAAAAGTAGCAAAATTGAGCTCGAAATGCCAATTGCATTTTCAACTTTGTCCTGCAAAAGAGAAGTCCACATACATACGTACACGCAGAGATACAGATACAAGCTTTATTGTTGTGGGCGGAATGCTGTGGACGTGGTACATGGACTCGGAAATGTAGATGTCAGAGCTCCTAATTGATGATATATGGCTCATGCTTTTGGAACTTTCCATTACCCTCTTAATGAATGGAGGCTGTCCTGCACAGGGATGCAAGGATGCACGGATATCAAAAGCTACACGATGTGTAGGAAGCTCAGCGTAGGCGAGTTTCCATTTCGTTTATACGTGGAAGCCGCAGCTGGGGTGCCACGATGTCAGCTTGTAATTTGAGACATGCACTTGCGCCGAGTATAGTTCAGCTAAAGTTAATAAGTACAAATCAGATTGCTTTGCCATTCGCTACAGCATAAAAAGTAAAGTAAAGTTGTGACTCTCGTTCGACATATTTCAAGAGCTTGACATTGAGAAAAGCTACAAATTTAAATACACTGACTTTATAGAGGGAAAACACCATTTGTTATTCTAGTATAGCTAAATGCCTGAGACTCAAGTATACCTTATTTTCTTAGCTGGATATATTATATACTTTTAGTCTATGTATGCGATATATATAAGGATATATACGGGAATTTAGAAACACATATGAATGCATATACTTGACAAACGCTGTCAGGATCTAGTTTTCTGTTTGAAGATAGTACGCGCCAAGTCCACGTGCTCTGAGAGTATATCGGTTCGGTTCGTGCAAGTGAGAGAGCAGTTGCGCTGCCCTCGGGAAAGGGACAGCTAGCACGCATTGGCCGACACGTTGACAATGGTGACAGGAACACACCCAGGCCGCATTCAGAGCTCGGCAAACATGACAAGCCGGCGCAACGAATCGCCATTTTGCGCTGTCCTATGGTTGGTCCCTTGGCTGATCATCCTGTCACGCGTTCGACGTTTTCGTTTATGTTTGTATCTTGTGTTTGCTAAAACGTTAAAATAAATTAAATAAAATAAAATAAAAGGCGAAAATCTCTCGAAAATGACACTAAAATCTACGGCTCGCTGCCTCTCGCTCTTTCTTTCTCTCTCTGCCTCTGTCTTCCTCTTTTTCAGCTTATTGATTGGATTTAACTTCACACATCGTGTGGATCGCCTGGCTTACGAGCTGGCACTGAGCACAATTTTATTGTTGGCTTGCGATTAGTTCCGATTGGCACTGGCAGGATCGAAGATCCTTGCGATCCTCGCATGTGTTCGCTCATCAATAGCTGAGCGGCAATGAATCCGGCCTCTTGTCCATTTACTGCAGATTAGCGACGGCTCGCAGTTGCAGATGCAGTTGCTGTTGGAGTCATAGTCGAATTCGCAGCTGCCGATCGTGCAATTTGTTGCGCCTCACCATGAATGCCTCCTACTTGCCACATTGCCACATCGTGCATTGTTTTTGTCGTGCGACTAATTATTTATGGGCTTATTTATGGGTTCCAGCGTTAACCAGACACAATTTGGGGGTTACAAATCGATAAGGATCGGCTCGATCGCCGTGGCATGCAGTCAAACTTGACGACAGCTCAAAGGGTACCGGGTTACTTTAATTATGAGTAGCCAGAGGCTCACTCCTCCAGCGAGCAGTTGCAGGATTCCAAAATATTAAGAAGAAGAAAATAAGCACTCCATTGATCATCAGCATTGACTCTGCAATGCAACTCAAGGAGTTGAATACATATCTTAAGAATGTATCAATTAAACAAGGCCTTCAAACAAGGCCTTCAATCAACTTAGAACAAAATGAGGCTCAATAGCTATTTAACTTAATTGGGCTTTATGTTTAGTATCTAGGAATCAGTGGGTTGTCTTCTTAGAGCACTCACTCTCCACAGCTGGAAAGCTGTCCAATTTGTGCAATGATATATTTATGCGGCTCAATAGACATCAACACGTCGCGTCTGAGTTATATGTAGATTTGTGATACTCCTTTGCTTTATTACCCACGAGGCACTCTACGAACGACTGCGACTGCGACTGCGACGGCGACGGCGACCTGCACTTCCTACAATATAATCATTTTATCTTGAATGTGCCCTGCAACGCCCACAGCGGACACGCCCATAGCTGAACCGCAAAAGGCGAGCGGCGGCTGAGACAGAGGCTGAGGCTGAGGCTGAGGCTGCAATCGAAAAAAAATTGTACGTGCTGTCATCGATCGCGATCGTGGGATACGCGGACAGAGGAGACTCGAGCAACAGTCAGGTGATAAAGCTGCAACAGTTGGCCCCAATGTCCAGCCAGGCGGACTCTCCACTCTCTGGCTACATGGCTAATGTGATTACAGACTTTAAGTTTATAAACATGGGCCAGGCCGCTGCCTACCGAGAGTTGGCTCAGCAGCCGCCGGTCCACATCCACATCCATATCCACAGACACAGACACAGATACAGACGCAAGCTCAGCTTCAGCTTCAGCTTCAGATCCGAACGGCCCTCCTGTTGCGTTGCAATTACGGCGCGTGCAGGCGACCCTCGATCCCAGTACCTCGATGCCTCGTTGCACTCCCTTCTCGTATGCCGGTCGGCCTCTGCCTGATGAATTCTTATTAGCTGCCTTTGGTGTCGGCTGCGCAGTTATGAGCGGCAAACTTCAACCGACGCGTCGGTCGCTTCCTCATAACTTTTGCTCTATTTTTCTTGCTGCTTCGTTCTGGCCCGACTCGCGGGATCTCCCTGGAGCTGTCGATGTGTCTGGGGCCCCAGCATTGCGGATTTGTCGGATAACGCTGCTGCCTCGCTGTCTGCCGCCACAGCAACCAGCCGTCTTCGTTGTCAGCGCGAGGCACGCGCAAATCCCTAATGGAATTCAGCTCAACGTCGAGGCGTGGGCCAGAGAGGAGAGCTAAGCGGCCAGTGGAGGCCATTGGCTCGACTTGCTCAAAGCTCATATTGTGCGGTGAGTGAATCATTGGGATTAAAAACCAGAAAGATTGAATGATGAAATTAAAAATCAAAATATTCCAAAATTGTAACAACAAAAAGGCATTTCATATTGAATATACAGACAAGTATTATATATTTAATTGAATGCTTAATGTTTATCTCACTGCTTCACATGCTATTTTTATGCTACCTCATAAAAGTATGCTACGATAATTAAGCAACCACACGGCTTCATCTTTTATTTGCTGCCTAAAAGTATGCAATAGAAATTTTGCGTCAGCCAAGTTCACTTGAACGACTCCGCCATATCCTTGCACTTACAGAAAGGATATAATCTACAAGATCAGGGCCTCAAAGACTTCAATTAGAAGGCCTGCAAGAAGACGGTTTCTAAATCTTTTACACAGCTGATGGCTCGAATTAATTGCAAAATTTGAGAAATTCCTCTCAGGAGATTCAAAAATATAAGAATAAAAATATATAATCGTGGAAGTTATTGCTGCTTAGATTATCCAATAGTTTTTAATGAAAATCAAATAAGTTGGCTATTGCGATTCTTTATTAATTATTTGGCGTGTTTTGTGGGATTTCCTTGATCTCCAGCTCTTTGAGCTAAGCTCAAAATTGTACAAATTGTGGATTCAAAGTGTAGGAGTTTTTCAGTGACATTCCAACGCTCTATGTTAGGTTATTTCCAGTTGCACTTTGACAACAATTGCGATTAACAAAATACATTACCCACCCACAGATACCGTCCAGATGCTTAAGCTTATCAAATCGACAGAAGTCGCTGGAAAGTATTCAGAGGGTTGTGGCAAAGCAAAAGTATTATATTTAATTCTCGCAGGAGCGAATAATATTACAGGGTATTTTAAGCGATATAGAGATAACAGCAGTATAATTTACACTTTAAACAGAATACTTTTTACAAATCTACAGAGACGTTGCGAGCGTTGGCAGTCAACTCGACTACTCATTGAGATCGACGCCCTCTCCATTCACCTGGATGGTGATGTAATCGCTGGCCTCAGTCTCGCCACGCTCACGCTGTGGATGGGCGGGAGCGGGGGCGGGAGGTAGAGGTGCGACACGTCTAGGCAGCGATTGCAAGGATATCTCGTCGTCCTGCCGTCCCATGAAGCGGCGACGAGTGCGTGCAAAGTCGAAGGTTTCCCGCTGCTTCTGGCGCGACTGGGCATACGAGGCATCCGTCAGCTGCTGCAGCGTTTGAGTGGAGCTGGTACGTCGCAATTGCCCCACCTCAGGCTGTGGCAACGTGCTGGTTGCTGCTGCCTGCCCCACCGACTGCCGCTGACGACCAAAGCACCCGGTCGCATAGCGTCCATCAGCGGAGCGCGAGCGACGTTGCCGAGCTGAGTCCCTGGTACTTAGCAGTTGCTGAGGGAACCAATAGTTAGATGACATCTATATCCAATAACTGTAATTTACCTGCTGCATTTCATCCTTGCGCAGACGTCGCAGGCCCTGCTGCTCCTCCAGCTTGTTGCTCATCTGAGCCATCCAGTCGCGTGCCTGTCGCAACGACAACGAGCTCTGCGATCGTTCTGGCAAGCGGGTTGGGAAGAGCATCTCGCGGGCACCTACCACGCTGCCGCTGTTCAGGACAAAGACGCGCGGGAAATCTATCACAAAGTCGCGGCTGCGTATCAGATCGGCCAAGGCGCTCGACTGGATTGGAGCCTGTGTCGCTGGCGCCGCTGCCATCGCCATCGACGTCGCTGTTTCCTGAGTCACACCAATCGCAGGATTCGGGGAATTGACGTTGCGGGCGATCCGCTCCGGCTCATACTCCAAGATGCTCTCCTCACTGCCCAGAAACTGAAACGAGAGAGCTTGAAAGATAGCGCCGATCCAAGGGAACGATCGAGCAGTTCCTTTCGAGTCGGTCCATGACATCTATCTACGGATGATAGGCCAAGCGTTGGGAGCACAGCGCGGCAACTACATTGCAAACAAGCGAAAGCGTTTTTCAAGTTCAATCAATTTATTTGGTCTTAAATATGCTTGAGTCGCACGTTTGGTTTTGGTTTAAGGTCTTAGCAAAAACTATATATGTTCTATATAATATAATTCATATGTATATATGTATGCAGTACATATCTGGCAATTGTAGCCGACAACTAATTAAGGCCCTAAGTCGTCTTCATGGCTCTAACTTGCCTTAAGCTCAGCGGGCAGTTTGCGGGTTCTTGTGGAAATGAAACTGAATGGAAATATATTCGTTCTTTGTCTTTCTTAGCAATGGATCGCAGATATGTTTTGTCTTAGGTATAAAACAAGTGTCCGAAACCCTGGAACTCGTCTCTAAGTGCATACATATTTATTTATATTTTATTTATACATATGCTCGTATGGTTATTTATGCTAAGATCCGTTTGAAGAGGATCACTCGAGAAAGCGTTAACGCAGCTGTGCTTGATTCTGATTAATGTAGCCTGCCTAGAGGCCAGCTTACCGAATTATCGACTATGAATCCATTGAATGGACTTGCGAAATCAAAGAGAGAAATTAAAATAAATAATATAACTAGCGGTACATTTATTCAATTTGAACAACTAAAGCTAAAAGCAAATACTTTGGCACCTTCGACATTATCTTTAAGTGTGTGTGTGGTTGTGAGGGTGTGTGTGGGTGCGCGTAGTATTATTGACTAGCAAAACAGGCGCTGATTTTGCTACAAATGATGTTGCATTAAATATTACAGCTACTAGGGCTACACGCTTTATGATTCATAATAATACATATACATAGTTAGAAATAATTATTAGTTATAGTAGTTATTGTAGTACTCGTAAATATTTCTGTATGCGCTTCTCACGTGTAATTTGTTTTCCGTTTTTCTTTTTGTTTTTGTTTTTGTTTCTCTATCGACAATTGGTACGCTTAAATTTAGAACTTAAATATAGAACTTATAGAACTCTGCATATTTTCGTTAATCTTTTCTCTTTTTGTTTCTTTTTTTTCTTGAATGTGCGTGGGTCTTCAGTTCCGTGTCTACAGACTTGGCCGAGTAGAGCAATTTCATTGTCTAATTAGGTTCTTTGCACGCTCCAATTGGAGTTGTCACCATAGCTTAGAAGCTCCGTTCCTGCTCAGCGTTAAGTACACTGTGTGCACTGCTTCGTACTGCTTTCCACTGCTTATTCGGCAAGCAGCTACAGCACGCATATTTACATGGTAAGTACGCAGCACGTAGAATGTAGGATTTAAATATATGCATGTATATATAGGTTTATACGTAACTATATGGATACGAGGATTACTTATAGATCAGTTTGGTCAGGCGACTTAGACGTCAGTCACCTGGCGACTGGCAGTGCAAATGATTTGCGGCATTGTCGCCGGTGCAGAGTTCCGTCTGCCGCGTTCAACTGACCCACCCAGTGACTGTTGCTGCTGCTGTTGCAACTGTTGTTGCGGCTGGTAACTACTGCTAGGACTACGCTGATGATAGCTGATAGCACTAGGATTAAAGCTATTGATGTTGTGCGGTGGCAGGGCTACCACAATGACAGGCAACACCTCCTCGGCGGCACCTGGGCCAGCAGCAGCAGCAACACCTGCAGCGCCAGCTGCTGCTGCTGCGGCTGCTGCTGCTGCTGATGGCGCATTGTGCTGTGGACTGGGCGTTTGATAGATTTGATCACCCACCACATAGCCGTAGAACTTGAGCACATCCAGCTTGCACATGGGGCAGGTGCGATGCTCAATCAGCCATGGATCGATGCAGTTCTTGTGGAACTCGTGTCTGAAATAGGCGCACAGCTCAGTCAACTTACTCTACGAAGAGTGGCTCATGTCATGCACTTACTTGCAGGGCAGTATGCGTATTATATCAGCGGGCTTGTAGGACTCAATGCATATGGCACAGCAGTCACTGTCCAAGTCCTTCTCATCGGTCATCTTGCCCGTCTTAGTTGGAATTTTCATAATGGCCTTCTTTGTTACTGAGCAAAGATTGCGCTGCAACACACATAATTAATTATAACTGTTTAAGTTATTTACAAGGTCAGGTATATCTCACCGACTGCTGATCCTTTGCTTGCATATAACGGAATCTCTGTATGTAGTAAAAGATAAGCCACACCAACGAAATAATCATTAGCACAATGAACGATATCGACACAAATAGAACAGAAGTGCTGAAAAGGTAAAAACTAACTTTAGTAAAATGTTTTTACATTAAATATTATTAAATATATCTTTGGAGTTGGCTCGGATTGGAAAGCTCCTGCTGAACAGCAACATTTGTCACCATATATTAACATGGGGACGTAGCTCAGTGGTAGAGCGCTCGCTTCGCATGTGAGAAGTCCCGGGTTCAAACCCCGGCGTCTCCAGTTTGAGTTATTCTTCTATTCAATTTTATTTTAAAATTATTAACTTTTCTAAGTCAAGCTCAATATAAGGATCACATTACATTTGTAACAAATATCCTTTCATCATTAGTTTTAAACTACCGTGGAAATTATTTTTTTTCAAGTAATAAACTCTTGGTATGTTGAAAGCAGTTTTTGCTGCAGTCCAAATTAAGGAAAGCAGTGCAATCCATCCCTCAATGCGAAGTACTTTAGTATATTGTTAAGTACTATCACACAGTTGTTGTAAGTAAATCATATTGCATATACCTTCCAATCGGGGACGTAGCTCAGTGGTAGAGCGCTCGCTTCGCATGTGAGAAGTCCCGGGTTCAAACCCCGGCGTCTCCATTAAGATGTAATCTAATTTTTATTTTTTTTTAATTTTTACACATCCTTCAGTCTAACTGGCCTACTACTTTCTGGTCCTAATTTTTAAATTTCCTAATCACTCACAAGAACGTTTCATATACATTTCACAATGAGTAAATTAATGCAAAAAGAAAGCAGTGTACATTGCTTACAAAGCAGTGCAGATGCACAACTTTCTTCCACTTGGCTTAAGTACAGTATTTTTCAGAACCCGTTTTCATGGGGACGTAGCTCAGTGGTAGAGCGCTCGCTTCGCATGTGAGAAGTCCCGGGTTCAAACCCCGGCGTCTCCAATCGAGTAAAGGTTCTAACTTTTTAAAATATTTTATTTTATTTTGCTTACCGATTTAAACTACTGACAGATCTCACACCCCGTCGTCCCTCGATAATGGAAATGGTTACATTAATTCCTTTGTCAACGGTGCTGGCCAGATCGAGTCCAATCGCTTGATACGTAATCACAGCAGCAATATTGCCTGGATAATGCGAAATTAGTTAGGCTGAATACTTTTTGAATGCACAGAATGCAGCTTACGATTCTTATTCTTGATCTGCATCTTCTCCAGCTGCATAACCTGCTTATCATTGTAGATTATGACCCCGGCGGCGTTGTACTGATGCACATGCTTCACCTTATCCTCGAACGTGCAACGTCCGCGTCGCACTAACGCAATCCATGTCACGCCTTTGTCGGGCAGCGGCATGCCGAGGGTGCCGCGTATATAGGGTGTGCATGCAAAATCGTCGCTAATATCATCAGCGGTGCTAATGTGAATCAGACGTCCAGTCACATTAAGCACACGGCCCTCGCCGTAGCGGGCTTTCTCTTCGGAAAAGTCGACTTCCCTGCCAATGTTCTGGCTATCCACATAGGACCAATTGAGAAAGGCGAAGTTGTAAAAGTCCATAGTGAGGCGCTCCTCGCCTATGCTGGTATACGAGTGCGTCGCATTCGCTGGTCGAAAATATCGCTCCAGATCCTGATTCGCAATCGTCATGGCCGCCACCAAAGTGGTCGTCGTTGTGGTTGAGGTCAAGTGGGGCTGACCACCCAACAGCAGCACAAGGCATGCCAGCAGCAGCATTTCCTGGCAGTACATAGCCCGGCTGGAGATCTCTTACTCTTTTTTTATTTGCCTTACAGCTCTATCCGGTTTACAAGCGTTTCGTATGTCTAAATACTGCGCAACATTTGCTCCTACAACTGCGAGGTTTACCAGAGTCGTTTAACTACTGAAACGATTAAAAACAAAACCAATAAAGTATTTAAAAATCAAGTCGTTAAAAGCAATTTTAGGCATAGTCGAAGTCAGTGAAAACTGTGGGGCCGCTCGCTCAGCTCGCGATAAGCGGCCATATTTATAGATTCGTATTTATTGGAGCCCTTGTTAAATACTAACAGCAGTGATAAGCGCCTTATCACTTGACAAGTTCCTATTGAAAAGTCTAAACTTTCGAATGAATAAGCCTTTCACTCTTGCGACAATAAATAATATATTGAATGAATATATATTAAAGTATAATCACAGATTGTAAAAAAGGAAGTTAAAGCAGATCTAAAATTGATAAGGCCGCGAAGAAAATTGTTTTATTCTCTGCTAAAATATCTTAATTGAAAATGTTTTAAAAAAGAAATGTAGAACACGAAATTTTGAAGACAGACGTGATAAGTCTTATGGATTAATAACTTCTACCACTACAAACTATTTACATAGCCCGACAGTAATCTTATTGAGATGATATCATGCCTATTATATTTAATGATTATTTATTGTCTTTAAGTGCTATTGAGAAATGAATAAGCGATTCAATATCAAGACAATATGGATATATATATTCATTCAATTCCATAATAATGACATTTTATTTGGGAACGCGTTAGATCTTACAGCTTGCAGAAATAGATATAGCAATCTATATAGATAAACTAGAGATATTGCAGCTTATATATCATCGGATAATATTCTGACAGTTATTCATTGTATAGCCAGTAAGTAGCCATTGAAATCATGGTTGAGCTTTCGAAAAATCGTTAATACCTTATGAATTTATGAACAACAACAGTTTTGTGGGTCAGACACAAATCATATTTTGGGCTCAGCTATACATGGAACCGAACTGTTGTGCAGTTTTAAGCAGACGGCGAATTCCTTAGTTTCCTGCATTTTGGCCATTTCGTTGCGCTGAAGGCCAATGCCACTGGCAAAGGCGTTGCCATTAATAATTTGGCCGGTGCTCCACTTGCCTCGCCCCGTTGGCGGCCTTCTCTTCTCCAGCTGTGTCAGGGAAATGCAATGCATTTAAATATTTTATTTCGTGTTGCCAGGGCTAGAGCCAAATGGCAAACGGGTGGCTCGAAAGACTCGTGGGTGTGCGGCTGACACTGAAAAGTGGTTCAGCAAGCCACCAGCCACCAGCCACCAGCCACCAAGACCACCGATCCAACGACCACTGCATAAAGCCCAGAGCAGGCAACCAGTTCCAGTTTTCCTTTCTTACAAAAAGAGACACGCGGCATCTGCTTGGACACCTACTTGTTATACATAAAATTCGCTCTCCTCGCCCACCCTCTTCCTCTCCTTTCGACGCGACTTCTGGTTATAATAAATTTAATTTCTATATGCACTCAGTTTTTAGCAGTCAGCTCGGCCAGCCAAACAAGAGAGCCAGCGATTCCGCCAATTGAATACAAAACTTTATTATGACGCCTATTTATGCTCGTTTTATTCATTGTGTGGGTATGTGTGTGTGTGTGTGTGTGAGGGCGTAGGGCACTTATTTAGCCTTCTATAGCTACTGGTTATGCCTATAAGCCAACTTAGGATGCGCTGTCTGCTTGATTCGTATTGGTTAAGCAAACTTTTAACAAATTTGTGTAAACAAACTTCAAGTGGCAAGCTCAAAGAGTAGCAGTGCGAGAAGTTACTTAACAATTTATAGCTACAAGAGCAAACTTAGTACGCATTGCCTTAGGAACGTTAAATAGCGCAACTTAGAATCACGAACTAGCAGTGGCAGGTTCTGTTATCCAGTAGCAACATGAGTAAATATTATCGATACATTAACTTATTTTTTAATATTATGTCAGAAAGTTTGCTCAGCTGCACAGCTGCAGCTTTATTTGTAGTTGTAGCGCCCTTTTACGTCGCTTAGGTCTGGCCAAAATGTCTCTTCAATTGGCCCAATGCACGTTTTGCATGCATCGTTGCATTTTATTTTATTTGTTGTTGTTTGTGTTGTTGCAGTTGCTCTTGGCATGTGGATAAGCGGCCAGGACAAGGGCAGCGATCGATGGAGTGGGGCGAGAGTGGGGCAAGTGCTTAGCCTTAATGGGGACAGAGTTGGTGGGCAGCCACCGACTTGGCCAACAGTTGCGGAACGAGCTGTGCCAAAAAAAAGCGCAAACGATAACAACAACAACAACTGCAGTGAGTGAACACGCGGCCTGTTTAGGATAATGACCCTGAAAGCTTGTTGTTGTCGCTAGCAAGCAAATAAAAAAATGCAGTAAATATTTGTCCCACTGTGCGAGCTGAAAATAAGAGTGAAAAATGGCCAAAAATTGAATTTGGTATTCAATTTTTGTATCGTTTATTTATTGCTTTATTTGTTGTGCGTGCGTGTGTGAGTCTGTGTGTGTATGCACGTTAAAATTATGCAAGGAGTGGCCATAAACCGAACTGCTCTTAAAATATATTTAAAGAGTTGCTGAGTGCGATGTAGGAAAAGGTTGAAATTCCAAATATTCGATTTATAATGGAAAATATTTGCATGCTAAGAGCCGAGGTAAGCTCAGCGGTACAACTGAATTCCCACGTTAATTAATAATTGTAGTTAACACTATTTGAATTCGTCTCTTCACAGCTTGTTGTTGTTGCTATGATTGCACTTGTTATTGTTTATTTATATAAACCGATTTCACTGTTACTAAATTACGTTTCGCGCATTATTTGGCCAACTGCCAGCTGAACGAAGTGTTTCCCCTCACACATATAAATAAAGCGCTTTAATTGTTTCTTTTTCCCACTCTCTTTGCCTCTCTCTGTCTTTTATTTATTTCTTTTTATATAGAATTGTGCACTATTTTTAGTATATTTATATTGCGTATTTATGCATTTTTGATCATATCTTTGTTTACTGTTTTTTTTTCTTAACTATCAAAGTTAAGCTCTCCACAGGTGCAGCTATTTTTATTCAATTTCCCAGTTATTGTTTTACATTAAGCTTCCTTAAATAAAATAAAATGAAAGTTCAGCTCTTTTCAGCAAATACAATTTATAAAATTGCCATAAATCAACAAATATCGAGAAGTAAAAATAAAATGATTTAAGAGCAAATAAACGCAGCCTTTCATAGATTCCGTTAAATAAATAAACAAAGAGATATCTTATTTTTGAGCACAAACTCATACTCACAAGTGCACTCACATAGATACTCGTCCGTTTGTGTATCGAAACGTGATTTGCAAAAACAGAAAACGTGATACGCATGGATAATGGATTTTGCAATACGAGTCTTTTATCTAGCGGCCAGTGCTTGTCGCTTCATATCGAAAATAAATCAAATAAATAAATATTTAATTGATGTGCTTTTCGTATACCTAATGAACAGACGCTTTATTAAATTCGAATCTTCACAAGTTCATAAAAGCCAAAGGATGCTCAACTAAAGAGCTCAGCTGAGGAGGAAGTCAAACAAAGTTGGCGGCAATTAAAATGTGATTAACAATAATTCGGCATTTAAATTCAAGACATGTGCTGCACACTTAGCTCATGTGATGGCATGAGCAGCACATTCTATAAGGAAGAAGATACGTAGAGGAAGCCTTGAGTAGGTTTTCTGCTTGAAATATGTTGAACAGGTAAACGCAAGCAGCGAGCCATCGACTGACTAGAAGATACCTGCGCACGCACATACCTTAAAGCAAGCTCGATCTCTGACACACATATCTGTCTAGAATCGTATGTGTATGTAATATTGTCCTATAAACTAACTTCATAATATATAAAAAACTTACAAAATTTATTTAGATTTCTAATTCGTTAGTTTCGCAACTTTCCTCAACAAATTGCGAACACTTAAATTTATACAAATTAAATTGCTATTAACGATTTTGCAGAAAGCGCGCAGAGTTGGGCTTTTGTTAGCCGCAATTCCACTTTTCGCTGCCATTATTAAACCACAAAAGGGATGAGGGGAGTCGAGGTTTATGGAAAAGTTTTCATTTAACATTTGAGTGATTTTGATGCGTTTTATTGCGCTCCGTTGGCTTTAATGCATTTCGTTGAACTCTACACTAAACACGACCAACAACAACAACAACAACAAAAGTAACAATGAAATTTAGCGCGAAATGACAGAAAAAATTACAGGTGTAACAGGTAGCACGGAAACGTGCACTGATTACGGCTTTAATTTATGCAGTTGTTTAAGATTTCAGAGCACTAGATGTAATAGTTCATATAGTAAATAGATGTGTAAGGAATCATTTGTGTTGCTTTAGCGCTGATTACGTAAATCAGCAGCAGCAACAGCAATGATTACAAAAGCCAATGGCAGCAATTAGCGTGTTGCAAGCGCTAAAGAACTTCAACTGAACTGGCTCGCCCTTCAATTAGACTTGCGCCATTTGGTTGCCAATGGAGCCAGTTACCCCTCACCCGCTGCCCCCTGCCAGAGCACGCCTTTGGTGACCCTCTCTATGCTTGCCCCACTGCAATAGACGCATTTCAATTTGCTAAACGACGCTCGTGCCCAAAGTGTTGCCAAGTGCAGAAGGCGAATGAATGTTTGTGCGTGTGCGTGTGTGTGTGGGTGGCTGTATGACTGTGCACTTGTAAATGTCTCTAAGCTGTGCTGTCAGCTGCTCGATTGGGAAAGCAACCATCTTAAAACAGAGTCGAAAGAGTAGAGTTTCTGAATTTACGAATGATACATCATAGTATACCTTGTTAAGGCGTAGCTCTTCGTAGTATTTATCTGCATCTAAAATTTAACAATGATATTTAATCATACTGAAACAATGGACTTGAGGCCGAAAGTGAACTTAAATAGCTTAGAATAACTAGAGTTTTTTGCTTGGCGTTGTAATTTTAACCTTTTATTAATTGACAATTTTGACAAATATTTTTGTGTAACTTCTTCACATTTCGATTTCTGAATGTTTCAACTCGTTTATTTTTCGATATTAAGAAATTTGCTTTCAATTCAGTTAGTTTTTGATTCTTCCTGAACGCTGACTGAATAAGCCTGCTCTAAGTGTCCAGGGTGCTTGACCTCCCGCTGCTTGGCAATTGGGGCTCCATTAGCACATTTCGACTTGGATCATGGCTCTTGACTTGACTCAACTGTCGACTGTTGGCTGTCGACTGTCAGCTGCAGGCTGCAGAGAGCCAGCTCAAGTCGATTCATTTCGTCGAGCGGAATTGGCAAAGGAGCAAAACTTTCAAGGCTGTCATGTCGATTGCACTCGTGTCTAAGGGATTATATTGGTAATTAAATGCGAAAACAGGAAAATGGGAAATGCGAACCGCACAACACGACAGCAAAGTCGCATAAAACTTTGCCCAGTTAGCATACTATTTGTGGTGTGAAATCTGGAGCTGGCCAACTTTTTGATGGAGAGTTTTTCGTACGACGATTGGTTCTCACGCGCTTAAGTATTTCCATGCTTCCTTTCGATATAGTCTTTGGCAGAATTAGAGACTGTTGCACCTAATATATTTGTATATAAATTTCATATTTGTTCTCTTCAACACATCGCCAACCACTTTGTGGTTGGTTCGCTGGCGATATATTATCTTTCACTCAGTTGTCGTTGACGGCTGCTTCTGGCTTACTATCGACCAGTGACAATTACAAAAGCCACAAGGCAACTGAAATTAAGTAATCATAGGCCGTAAGTTATAAATCGAATTTCATATTTCGTTTCACTCTTATTGCACTTATCAGAGAACACTCTCGGCGTATTTGTTTGTTTTTCTCTATATATTTTTTTAGTATTTGCGCAGCAAGAAATGTTTTCTCTGTCGTTGCTTGGCTTATGATAGTGGCATAGTAGAGTACATATATATTGCCATCTCTCTCGCTCTCGCTCTTTCGCTCTCTTTGGTTGTCTCAGTGTGTGATGTCTCATAAGTTAACTGGCAGAATGCTTGGCACCTTGTTTCTTGTTGCTGTTTGGCGACTGCTGTTCCGCTTGTTTGCATATTGCAACATCTGTGCAAGCGAAACCAATTTAAAACATACGCCACCACATGCTCACACTCGCACACACACATGCAGCCACACCCACACTTGGCTGTTAGAGACCTTTTTCAGCATGCACATAGTGCCTGCTAAAAATAACCAACCGCAGCCACATTTGTTGTTCGCCTGTTTCGTCTCATTTCTCATCGCTCGCTTCACTTCCTTTGGAACTGCACTTCGCTCTCCGTTCTTGTAGCAATCCTTGACTTTATTTATGGGCTTTGCCTTTGAGTTCTTAATTTACAGATGAATGTCTGGTTCACTTGTAATTCCTAATTGGTCACATATTTTGCACATTAACACTTTGATCTTCGACAGTTAATTAGTTTGGCTTAGGTCACTTTCAACTTGAGCTCAGTAAACAAACTTCAGCTTCAGGATTCAAGTCACTCAGACAGCTCGCTAAGCACTATCGAGTATATTCCACTCTATGCAATTGATTTGAAGACTTAGCTGATTTTCTATTCCCAAACGCTTATCATTGGTCTTAGCGAACATAGACGAGTATTTCCGTGACCCACATAAGTTGAACAAAAAAAAAAAATCATAAGAGAAAAATGCAGTTGTAAAGTTGATCTAAATAATGCAGAGACCGACAGGAAATGTGGACTCGGCTCTTGCTGGGAGGAAGCTCTTCAAGTTGTTTGTTTTATTTTGACACAAATTGAAAAAACGCTTCGCGCTTGAGCAAAGACCAACTGAAAAGTTTAAATGAAGTTGTTGAAACTTCCGCTTGACTTTCTGCAATGCCACACTGAAAACTGTGCAGCAAGTGCTCTAGTATCTGTGGCACATAAATCATTTTACGAAATTATACACAAAATCCGATTTATTGCGAAACTTTCAGTTCAAAGCGAATAAAATACCGTATCGATAAGAAGCAGCATTGGTAAGATTTACATTCGCCAAAAACAATTCTCCACTCGCCAATGAGATGGAAACATAAAGCAGCTGGCCCTACCAGGGGTGCCAAAAAGGGGCGAGGGGAGGAGGGGCGTTGGCTGTTGGTCTTCTAAGTGAGTCTCTAATTACCGCCGGCTGCTGCAAAGATTCAAATTGCGTGCTCAGTTCTTTTTTGCTGAGTACTTTTGCTTTCGTCAGAGCTCCAATTGTTCAACTGTGAATTGGGGCTTCCAGTTGTAGATGGGCGCTAGGGTCTGGCAGACAGCCAACGCGTTTTCTTTTTATATTTGGCAAATGCATTTTAATGTCACTTTACTGCAAATTGTCAGTGCAGCGCATTCATCACGAGGATTTCCCCCACACACACACACACACACACTCATACACAATTCTGTGTCATCATTGTCATTGTTTAAGTAGCTGCAGCGGTGGCTGTGAGTGGGTATGGCGAGTTGCTGCCAGGCAGCTGACTTATTGACAATGACAAGGACATTCAATTTGACTGAGCGAATGCTAGGCAGAGCTTCAAGGACACTCACAGATGCCAGAGAGCCGACTGAGCACAATATCTGACTAAGAGTAGGCCAAAAACTAAGAAATTAAATACATCAAAATATTTCAGATGAGTTAGATCTGCCAGCTAAAGGAGAGCCTTAAGCATATGTGACAATCAACCTCTATGAAAAGTTTCTTTTATCATGCAGTAGTACCCACTTCAATCAAATTACGCAGAGTGGGACCTGTCCAGCTGGGGGACACGTCTGGGAATCATAACGGTTGTAGTTGCATATATATATAAACATTTTAGCTGATTGTTAGACGTCTGCCACATAAAAAAGAGCTCTATTGTCGGCTGGCTAATAAATGTCAGTCTGTGGCCGCTGGGCCACACCTCCAGCTCCAGCTCCAACTACAGCTCCTACCAGCAGTCGAATGCACTTGAACTGCGCCGTTAGAGAAGTTTTTGGATGGCGACTGCAGCGACGAAAACTTGTGGAAATTGTCGCCATAATGCGGTACATAAATATTTATTGTACGTGTTTGGCTGGCGGTTCTGCTTCTAGCCTTGAGTTTATGAGCCCGAACCGGACTACTGTTGGCTGTTGTCTCTTTTTGTTGCCGTTGGGTTCTGGTCGGTCTCTTAAGCTTTAAACTAATAAAACCGTCGCAATCCCATAAAATGCGCACAGAGCGCGCTCAACTTTTAAGGAAATTTTTTATGAAATAAACTGAGAACAAATAAATATGCGTATTGATTAAAATATATTTGATATGGCCAACACAGCTGGGCACTCGGGCCTATGAAAATATTAACACTCTGGCCACATGACAGCCGGCTAACGAAAATCACGTTCACACTAGTCACGTTTATTATTTAACAGCAACCAGCAATTGGTGACTTTCGAATGCCCTGCACAACTGGCAAGCTAAGACTTATACAAAACTCTAGAAAGCCTTAAAGGAGAATATTTCAGTTAATGAGTTATCTTAACTGCATATTAAAAGAAATTTGTGGTGATAATTATATTATAATATAATTATATTTATAATTCTATTTTCAGTTGAATTCTCTCTCTTCTATGATTTCTATATCTCTAATTTCTATGCTCAAATTTGCCAAAAAGCAAAAATAATAATTATTTGTAAGTACTTAAAGATATATACATAAATTCATACAAATTTCTAATCAGAAACGAATAAGTTTTACCTATGTAAATTTCTTTTACAACTTACAGGGTATACCTTAGTCTTGTCTCAGTATTACATGGTTTCTTTAGCTTATTTCTGTAGCGATCGTAAAAGATACAAGTAGACAGAGGATTGGTGAGGGGTCAGTGTAAATGGTAGAACATGTGTTAGCCAGCGCCAACAACGTCATAAATCTTGCACACCTTCTGTGCGCGCGTGTGTGTGTTGTCCACCCACAGCTGCGCGCAACCCGTTGCCAGTCGGAAGCGTAACGTCCGCGCTCCACGCTCCACACTTCAGTTCATTGCGTAGCCCCAACCCTCAGAGCCAATCCCGTCAATAGTTTTAACCTGAGCCCCCAAAGCCATTTCCCTTTTGCCCGTTCCCATATGCATGGCTCTGCAGTCACCTTTATTGGCCACTCGAACGTCGGCATTGTGAAAAACGTGATTTCCGCTATTGGCCTGCTGTAATTGTTTACATCGGGAGAGGGGGCCAGGTTAAGTCCCGCTGTCTGCTTATTCCGCTTAGTTTGGCTTCTGGCAAAAATAGACGCCAGCTGCAAACACTCAAAAATGCACAGAAATGCTTTCACTGACGTCAAATGTCATCTATACTTGAACCCAAAACATGACAGTGCTTCGGGCAGTACGTCCACGTATCTCCAGGACCAAGAAGAAGACAGGCGACAGGCAGGCAGGCAGACAGTATGGAGTATGAGCAATAAGCAGGGCTGACAGTTGCATTACCTGCGCGAATTCTGACACCTGAATGCAGCTGTTTTGAAAGGCTTTCACAAGATTGCAGCTGTAGGTGAAAGACTTTGAAAAAGTGCGTCCACTGAGCAAATGGGGCCGAATGGAGGAGACGCGAGTAACGGCATGTCATATGTTGAAGCTGATGCGCGGGAAACTTTCAACTTGGGTGTCAGTTCAAAGAGAAGTTTCAAGGGAGCATACCTATATGATTTCTAGAAGTCATGAATGCATTTAAAGGCCACATATATAAAGATAAAAGTGAAGAGCATGAGAAAGATCTGCATGAACTCCAAGTTTGTAACTGACTGACGCAAATAATGACTAAGTTTACCTTCCCAGAGATAGGGACAACACGTTCCAGTATATTGATATTTATCTTAATACTACAGGTTATCTAACTATAAGTCCCTAGCAAACTACCAAACGATACTCAAACGATACAGAGCCTTAACAAATAAAATTCATTTATTTCTTGTTTTGTAACATTTGGCCATTTTGAGACAGTTTTTCCTGGTAGTTGGTGCCGAAAATTACCTTTACAATTGGTTTTGTGCCACTGTGCTTAACGAACCGTGGCTGGCACTAGGATTGCGAGTGGCGTTGAGAGAGCGGGGTACATGGAACATGGCACATGCCATAAGGCTTCCGCCCTTTTGGCGGTCCGCTATGTCAGCTATTGATTTTTGAGAAGCAACAACAATGACAATCATTTCCTAGAATATGTAGATACTCTGTATCTCTTGGGTAGGTCTAAGCTGTGCTATCTAGCAAAAAATCAACTTGACTTTTTTGTAGAGTGCAAACTGTTATTGGTTTGGCATTTCCCAGCAGTTAATAGACAACTGACCTCAATATGATTATGAACCGAAACTAAAGCTCAGTCGCGTCCGAAGTGTGTCTAAGTTTTAGTTTTAGTTTCAGTTTCATTTGCCTTATACAGTTTGGGTTAAGGTTACCGACCCACAGAGACCCCAGCAACAGTCACAGTCGCAACTACAGTCACAGCCACAGCTTCAGCCACAGCTACAACCTCAGCTTTGGTTAGATACAGATACAATTGTATCTGTATCTTGCAAATTGTAATAGTTGCTGCTGATGTGGGCCACACAATGATGCTGGCAACAATGATGTTTCTCTCTCTCTCTCTCTCTCTATCTCTCTCTGTCTGTCTCTCTTCATCTGCAATTGCATTTTGATGATTTGTATTGTTTATTTTTTTGTTGTGCAATGAAATT